AAGTTTATTTTTAAAAAAATAAACTCTCTTTTTCGAGAGAAAAAAAGTACCTAAAACTTGTATTTTAACAAAAATTATTTTTAATTATTAATAATTTATCTTAAACTATTAATATTTAATTAATAAATAATTAAATTAAATAAAAAGTTTAAAAAAACTTTACAAACTGTTTTATTTAAAAAAAATCTTTAAAAATACTCTCGTAAAAGATTAAAAAAAACACTCATATTTAATATATAAAGATTAATAACTCCAATCTCCCAAGCCACCAATTAAAATGGTGACTAATGAAAACACTTTTACCAATAGATAAATATTAAACATGAGGATTTAAAATAATAAAAAACACTATCTAGTTTTTCAACATTTTTTTTATGCGAAGGTTAATCTCCTTATCATTATTAGAGCTCTATTTAACTAAACTGAATCATTTTCTAGCGTGTTTAAAAAATTACTTTTTTAACGAAAATGTAAAAACATATTTTTCAAAGCGGTAAAATATAAAGTAATTATTTCTATCTTTTCTGTTTCGTACGTTTGGGCAATTTTAATAATAAAACAAACACACTCATAGTAATACATAAACTAGTTAAAATGGCATTTTATAATTTTTACCATGTAACTATTTTTTTATAAAAAAAACTCTTCCACAAGATACAATTCATTTTGACCTAAAACATCATTAACCCAATTTTATATCTAAAAAAATAGTTTTGCATTTATACTAATAACAAGTATATTTTAATATAAATTTGTACACACGTACTAGTGTAATAACCCGTGAAATGCATGCATTTTCTTGCTGAATGAAAATCATAAACATTAGTTAAACTAAAATTATATTTGATCGACAGATGATATAATTGACAAGAAAAGTATGAAAAGTACGCAATATAACATTTGTTCTGGCACTTGTAACTTCTTAAAAAATATAATAGTGAATGAACTTTTATTCCCATGTTAAAAGATGAGAAAGTATTCTCATCAGAAAATGAAAAGTTATATTTTTGCACAATTATAATTTTTTTTAATTATTTTAAAATTTAAAAATATTCCAAAAATAACCATACACATTTTTTAAATTTATCCAAAAACATTTCAGTTAAAATATTACTAAAAATATAATTCCTAAAAATTCATATAATACCTTAAAACAAACCCCTAAGTTTTATAATTTTCCAACTTATGTATATGAATTAGAATCTATACAAAATTATTTCGACTGCATGTCATTAGACCAGGAATCTATCTTCTTTATACACATGCAGTACTCCTAGTGTTTCGATTAAATCTTAAATTCCAGGTTGCTATTACCCTTTCACAGCAGTTGGCTTGAGATTTTGTACATTTCAGATTGCAGAGGTAACTAGCATTCAGTTCTTATAAACTTTTGAAGAAAAAAAATATTTAAAAATATTTTTATTTTTAATAAATTATAAAAACATTTATAACTTATATCTAATAAGACTTTATCTTTATAAATAAGGACATCAGAGTGATATTCGTGGTAAAACAATATTTTGTAAATAAAAAAGAAAGAATTAAGAAATGGCCCGAGCAAACGATTGGAAAAATGGCCCAACCAAAATCCAAAATAAAATATCATGGCAATGCGTGCCTTATTTGGTTATTTACAGTATCCGTCGAAACCTAATTTGAGATGCAGTATTCCGGCAAGTCACCCTTGCGGAGAACAAATTTGTTAACCAGCTATTTATAAAAAAAAAATCTAGTCATAATCTTAATATTTATATAGATGAAACTCTAGGGGGAAATACTTATGTACCAAACCATATGGATCACAGATCTTACGCATCCTTTTATAAGGACTCTGCAAACTGGGAGGCCTCCAAGTCAAGCTCTTGTCTCATGACACAGTTCATAAACCACTCGCTACTGAAAGTCCGTATACCTTTCTTTGCAGCTATCATTGCTTCTTCCGTGTCTTCTTCGCACGTCACAAAGATTGTTCTTGATGTTTCGTCTATCCTTTCGAGTCCATTAATAACCTATTACAAAAATAAGTGGAATTTGATAACAATCGAGCTTCAGAATAACAATTTAAATAGATATATTATGTGAATAAAATGATAGCGGATGTAATTAGTTCAGATAAATAGTTTAAATCCGCATGTTAAATAGCAAGTATAATACCAAGGTCGATTTTTGTGGTTGTTTGGAAAATCGTTTTTATAACAAAAACGTAAAAACACGCTTTCCAAAACACCAAAATAAAATAACTATTTCTATCTTTTCTGTTTGTCAAATTTTAACAATAAAACAAACACACTACGTAACTAAACTCCCGTTTTGACAACTTTCAAAGGGCTTTCGTAAACTTTATGCATGTTTTGAAAAATGTTGGGACTAATACTTCAAACGGGAATATATTTCCAAATCCAATTCTAGCAGAAGCCAGTCTTGCGTAGCTTTTGTATTGGGTATAGATAATCAAACATGAAGTTAGAAAAAACTAGAAGACAAAATAAATATATACTGTCAGACATTACCTTGATTAATAAACTTCCTGAGCTAATTCCTGAAACTAGGTTGACTAAATTCATTTTTTCAACAGTCTTTTTCTTTGCCAAAACAAGTGTTTTGAAAATAACCAAGGTGGACCACCAGAATAAGTGAAATCTGTATTTTCTGATTTATCCATAGTAACTCCAAATTAGAAAGCCTAAAGAATATTTATGTATGAAAGATAGGCCTTTTTAAAAGCATTGACACCGCGTGACTATAATTACTCATGTTCAGATGCTTTATCCTTTTAAGCATGTCTAAATGAAGGAAATGCCCGATGCAGCACTGTTTAAGGTCTGCTTAAATTTAAGTTTCAGAAAGAAAAAAAAAAAGAATATGACTTACATTACCACCTGCGGACTTGACAATTGCAGACAGTGTTTTAGCGGGAGTTTGAACATGAGCTGCAATACATATATTATAACCCTTTAACAAAGCATGGGGACTAGCTTTTGCCCGGAAAACTGCACTTTTTAAATCAGATTTGTACTTCAGCAGATAATCCGTATCATTCAGTATGTGAGGCAATTCATCTGCAAATTCATTTTAAAAAATGAATGAATGCAACAGGAATAATAATAATAATTATAGATAAGAAAGCTTGTTCCACTTTACCAACAAATCTGCCTTCACGACAACTTTCTTTTAACCAACTTGATGAGATCACCCAAGCACTGTGTAGTCAACAATATCACTTGGTTATAAATAATCAACAAAATTAATACATACTAAAATGTAGTAGACTATAGAAACATTAACGGCATGTTTTGATTATAAGCTATTTTGAACAAAATATAGTCCCAGAAATTTGACAATATTATTTTGAACCCACCCTGAACAGAGGGCGGTACAGAAGTTCAGAGTCTTCCTCACTTGTCCTGTGACAACGTGTGTGGTCATTCTTCCATCATAGGATATAGTTCCACCAAGGTCTTCAATCACCTATATATAACAAATGTATAATGGTTAAGTAAAAAGAAAAAAAGGATATCTAGACCTCAGCATTTGAGTTAACTTCCAGGTTCTATCCCATTACTAGAAGAAAAAAATAGAAAGCTTCAAATAAGCCTTTTTTCCGGCCAGCAGCAAAAAGTAATCAGTTAAAAGAGAATGCCAATACATTCAAAAGGAAAAGACCAGGTCTCTAAAGGACGGTAAAAAGAAGTGTTACTCGTCAGTTTAAGTTTACCAAAGAATTTATAAAAGTTTGGGTAATTGAACATACCTTTGTAAGCTGTGTTTTCTTAGCATCATCAGCAATATTCATCAACATAATTCTAAAACATTGTTTAGTTGATGGCAATTCTATGTTGATTGGAGCCTCTAAATGCAAATTATCCCTAACACATTTTTCAGAACTATTTTTAATCAAAGGATCACGAGGGACTTCTTCAAAACAAGGATTGGCCTTATCAGTCTCTAAGATAAAACCGCAGCTAGAATCTGATTGATAGTCAACCAACTGGCTTCCCTTCACTCTTTTTGATTTCAATGAGGACAAAGAGGCTTCCCAGGCCCTCTTTGCCCCTTTTGTAGATTGAGAACAACACTTCACGTTAGCATCATTTCCATTCTGTGAACTTTCTGCACCAGTGGCCTGTCGATCGTCATTTACTCTGGCAAATCCTATTCGAAGAGTAAGAGATTACAGTATAAGGTGTACATAAAAACATCAAATAGTCCATATAAAAGATATTTCGTTTACTACTTTTTCTTTCGGATTACCAAAAAGTAAATCGTTTAAATTATAAATTACAAAATATTCACATCTGGAAGCATGGGAGACAAACAGATTGACGCCCTACCATTGAGTTTGCCATATTCTATTGACGATTCATCTTTCACCAAAGTTTCATCTTGACTTTTACCTGATTCTGTTCTATGGGAAGATTTATCTGAAAATTTCAAATCTACGTGTAATTTTCCTGAAAATTCAGGCTGCTCGTCTCCAGCAATGGCAGATGTAACGGAATTCTGATGAAGCTGTGAAGGGGAATGCTTCACTGCGTTAGCATTATCAGCTAAGAATTCTTTCCTTAGATGGCAAACCATGAGAGTTGAACCACCAGGGAAGCATAAAGATTTTCTAATATCAGCTTTTACGGGTAGCCTGCGGGCCCTTCCTTTGGCATCCACCTGTGCTATTTCTGTAAAACCCTGCAGTTACAATTCAAAAAGGGAAACATGCGTAACATCAGAACTAAGGGCGCATATTTTACACGATCCAAAATTATGATTATGATACCATTGCCAATTTATTTAACCATATAAACTGGCTTCCTCGCATAAATGTCAACTTTTTTTTTTTTCTACAATACATAAATATGTAACTGAAAAGCCAAAAAAAAAATGGAATACTAGGGTGATCACATATCTATCAAGTATTCTACACTCGGATGAAATAACAATCATTAATAATTTAATACAATAAATAAAAAATGAGTACAATATGATCTGCTCAAGCTTCCATAGAATTTCATTTATAAATTACCTGTTTAAGCCAAAATCCTTCCGATTCTTTGTCACCCCAGCAGAAAATAGAACGAATGCCAACACTTTGAAGTCTGTTCCGTAGCTCTATAAACAACAGATGACCAAAACCCTGCAGGATATTACTATTATTTAAATGAGATAGAAACCATATTTGCACCCATAATTACCATGAGCATCAAACCATGTAAACACAGAACGAATAATATGAGCAAGAGAATTAGAAAAAGGTTTAACATGCCATATTTGTTGCCACAGTTCAATATAACTGAGATGCACATAAATGAGAAGAAACAACATCCAAATACAGTATGCCATGAAACTTCTTTAAGAAGCATTATCTTGCCTTCAACGTGAAAATTCAGAGAAGTTCCAAAACATCGAAGCCCTATAAACAAGATGATCACGTTAATTTTTACTCTTTAGTTTGTACTAATCTTTTTCACTAAGAATAACTCTCATGAAGTTGTCTACTCATATAAGATAGAAAAGTGAAAAACAAGCAAAATACAATTGGAACTAAAGCTTCATATAATCCTGTAACAAAAACCAAAAGAATGTTTCTGCAATTAACCATCGCAAGTTTATTTCATGAAACTGACACCAGATGCGAAATTTCAAAAGGAAAGGAAAAAATTACTTGAAACTGAAATGATGAAGAAAAATGTGAAAATTAGGAAAGACCTTCCGTTGATAGATTGCATTGACAGCTGCTAGTGGGATCTCGGCATATTCTGTATCTGCAGCGATGATTTGGTATGTAATTGCAGCTATAACCTGCAAAACATAAGTTAATCATAATTTAAGATGTAATTATGCATACACTACTACAGTTCTCTAATTTACACTGCTAAGCTTTGTTGTATAGCTCGCATTAGAAGATAGTACGAAGCATTTTTTGCTTTTATTTCTAAGTCTGATGGTTTCTATGGTGAAAAGGGAGAGTATAGGCAAAATCAATCAACTTCTTATAGAACCAAATATTCCATCAATGACCAGTCAATATATACTGTAATTTGATTACCAATCCAACAGACTCCACAGAATCTTGGAGCTAAAATTGATAAATTTTGTCATTAAGAAATGTACACATGCTCTACTATATGTTATGCTGTATACATTACAGACTACTGAATCTCAAGAAATTGACACATGCTTTACTATAATTTGTAAACATGCTATGACCAAAAGCATTTTCCTGAAATTTAATTTATAAGATAGGATAGTGCAACATACGTTACTTATAGTTGTTCCCTAAAATACCAAAAATATATAGGCTTAGAAATATAACACTGATAGAAAACGTGCTCCAATTTTTAACTGAAGTAAAGTGGTCTAGCAAATATAGATACCTTTCCTGAATTTCCAACAGAAGTTGATTTCATAATTAGTGTTCGATATTTCCTGCAAAATATACAAATGATAAATGAAAGCTTCTTAAACTTTCAAGAAGTCAAAGAAAAAACCCACAATTTAACCAGGTAAAAATAAGTCGACAAAATCAAATAAACAAACCTATGAAAAAAATATTCTGTTAAAATAATCATAGTTGATGAACTAGCAGCAATACAAACATGGCATGGTTACATTATACACATGCAAGAGAAAAAAGGAGAAGGAGAATGAGATGTAGTTAATACCCCTTATTCACACATCTCTCGAGAAACTTCGATTGTTTTCCCGTATTCGCAGCATAATTCATTCCAGGTAGCTCTGTCGTATACAACTGAAATACTTCCTGCAAACCCATTCACAGACAATTCAGACGGTGAGAATGGGAAGGTTATTTTTTCCCTCAATTTAGATTATAAAAAAAATGAATAACGCACTTTGAATAGCTTATTCCCAGCAAATTTGTTATCTTATGACATGAGCACTTGTGAGGGCGTTTGGGATAATTTATGAAAATAGCTTGTATTGTTTTTCAGCGTATTTCAATGAGCCCTCTAGGATAACCAATGAGAATAGCTTACAACTTATATAAACTACGAAGCACTTATTCAATTGGTACTTGATTAAGTTCTATACCCAATAAGGACAATAACTTATTCAACAAGTACTTAATTAAGCTATTTACCCAATCAAACATAAATATGCGTGGAGAGAGGGTATCACCTGAAGGTAAGATTTGTTAATACCATCAACATCTTTAGGATTAACTAGCACAAACTCGTGTCCTGTGAAAATATAACACGTTAATGAGTATTTACGAGATACTATTAATTACATAATGAAATAAGATTACTGCTGCAACGAACCACGCGTAAACGTGATATTTTACCTTTATCTTCGGACCTAAAATCCTCAGAAGCGTTCCCGTGTTCTGCAGCCACTGCTGTTTGAGAAAACAATAGTAAAATCGTTAATCAAATCAATCAAACGTAAACGGCATTGCGTTTTTTATGATTCGAGTAATACCAGATACTTTGATCCTTCCGCTTCGCGTAAGAGAGATTACGACGCCGTTTGCATCGGAGCTGCAGGTGAAACGGTTGGCCTCGACCGTAATCTGGCAGTTACCTGCGTAGTGAGAAGGTGGAAAACGAAGTTATGAGTGAGCGCTGGAATCGAAACATTGTATTCTAGGGTTTGAAGAATCACCGATGGAGATTGGAGACGAAGGTTTTCGTTTTGGCGCCATGCGTTCTTCTGTTTTCGAGTTTTCGAGTTTTCGTTCGCCAAGAAACTTCAGAGAGGTGAGTGCTTTATATAGAAGCTGAAGGGACTTTGCGCGCCGAGAATGTGCTCAAATTGCAGGGGTATTTTTGTCAAAGCGAAACATGAAAGCAATGTTATTTAAAATTTAATTGCAATTTCAGGAAAAAAAATATATATGAACTAAATAAGTATTTAAAGGAAAAACAAATTATTGGGAAATTTGGCTCCTAAAGTGTGGTAATTGTATATCTTTCTAATTATTTTTCTTTATATTTTAATACTACTAAATTCAAGATAGTTTTCAATTTTTTTCCCACACTTTTAATGAGATAAATGTAATTATACATGTTAAATTCAAAAGGTATATATATATTTATATTTATAACTGCATATCTGTATTATTAAAGATAAAATAGTCTACTTCAAATCTTCATACTCAAAACTACATAATTTGAATCTATTTTTTTCATAAAAAAAATAAAACTATACCTTTTGGAAACCCAATAACTTCATACATCAAATGAGTCAACTAATATATATATATA